CGGATAAGGATTCAAAATATATTCAAACTTTAATCGAAATTATTATAAAAATTTCAAATTTTAGACGGGACCTATTACCCCCATTCTATTTAATAGTGTGTTTTATAGATATATATAAGTGTCCACGTGAACATCATATATAAATGTTGTATTGTTATAAAATAGTTACTTCTCTATATCGGTACTTATATATCTTTAAAATACACTATTAAAAAGTGTTGAAGTTAATACGTTCTGACCAATATTTGAAATTATTACAGCAATTTCAATCAAAATTCAGATATATATCAAACCTTTAACCCAAAAAAAGACTTTTATGATTTAAAATCAATCATAAATATGTATATTATCATAAATCATTTTATTAAAAATAAATACATATTTACTAAATATAAAATATATGATTCTTTTTTAAACGGCCTAAAGAAAAGTCATACACTCATAGAGTACACAGATGTATAGGAGATCAACAAAGTTGCCACGTACGTCTATTTAAAAGATTGTAATGTAAAAAATTACAGCATAATAATAATAATTAATATTACTTATTATATTTGATACAGCTAAAGAGATCGAGAGGGTATCAATATTTGACTTAACCTAATTAGGACGTGCGCTCATGTAGTAGTGACAATATATATCAATCTCATGGGATCTTATATAGATCACCCTAATTGACATATTATCTTCATTACCATAATGTATAATGGCACGATACTTAATAGTTCAGACAAGGTCTTTCGATTCTATTAATTGATAATCAAGATATATGTATCATTAGCTACTATCGATAATTTTAACATCAGTCATCACTATATATTGTCAACTATCATCATTAGTTATCACTATCATCCATCACAATTATTAGTCTCGATGAATTTACCACAATTAATCATTACAATTAGCCAACACCATTTTCAAACAAAATTTACAATTATCATTGGTAGTCATCATCCCACCAACGACACCTCATGTAATTTTAAAAAATTATTTTCATATGTATTTGATTAGTTAATATACAGTATTTTTAAAAGTTTTATAGTATTTAGTAATTTTACATTTTAAAACAAAATCTAATAATTAAAAAATAATTTTAATTATTTAATAATTCAATTTTAATATTCATATTCAAACATATAAATTTTAATATACGTATTAATAGGCGTAAGTTAAATAGTAATTATTTTTAAAGCAATTTCCAGTAAACTTCTTTCTTGTAGTAATAATAATAAAGTTTAACACGATGGTAAAAAAATGCTTTCTCACTTTCTACCGTTTCAATTCGAATTGGTCTTTTAGTATTTAACGCTTTTATCGAACCATAAAATTATATTATTTTTTGATATGTTTTTTTTTATGTGATATTTTTTTTGAATTTTGAAATTTAAATAATTTTTTTATATTTAAAATATTTTGAATGATAAATTATTATAATTTATAATAATTTTTATAAAATTTATAAATATATAAATTTTATTTTAAAAATTTTATGTTCAAATTTCTGTTCTCGGTAAAGGAAAACAAAATGGTACAGAGAGTATAACTTTAAACTCTAACCTGCAAACGAGCTTGCACTTTGGGTGCTAAGCTGAGATGGTATTGGACCTTCAAGTCTATTATTTGCAGCATTTATTTGAAAATCCTGTTGATTAAACGCCGGTATTGTTCCATTGAATTTGTTATTTTGTATCTGAAGCTCAACAAGCTTCGGAATTCCCAATAACGACGTCGGAATCTTCCCCGTAAACTCATTATTCGCCATTAAAATCCTCCTTATCGACTTCATCCCGGCGAAAGCATCGTCCGGCAACTCACCGGAAAATCGATTATTCGACAAAAACAAACCTCTCAATCGTCCTCCGATTTTCTTCACGTTCGGTAACGGGCCTTCAAAATTGTTATTCATAATACTCATAGTAAGCAAATTAGTCAACTGAGAAAGCGTATCGACATCGAGATTCCCCGATAATCCCATCGATTCGAGACGGAGACCGTAGAATTGTCCGTTTAAGCAAAGCAATCCGTTCCAATTGGAATCGTTGCCGGTGCAAAGCGGCACCGATGAATTCCAGTTTCCGAGTGATGATGATGACGTGGCATTTTCGAGAGATGATTTGAATTTTATGAGTAGTGCTGGTTCAGACTCTTGACCGTAAGATGAAGTTATCATCATCGTCGTCAGGAGACAAAACAACAACAAGCAGCGATGGTTTCTTGCTGAAGAAGCCATCGTTTGAAGGTGATTTTTTCTTCTATATATATATATTTTATTTTATTTTTGATGAAATAAAAATGAAGGATGTTATATTTTTGATAATTTATTCAGAGAGAATTGCGATGATTATGATATTCAGAGAGAATTGCGATGATTAGATAGATAGGGCAATAAGGATAGAGAACAAATTGAGTAATGGTGAGATTGACAAGGTCTGATTAGCTGTATTCGCCGGCTATTTTAGTATAACTTGTTTGCCAGTTTCCAGATATATTGTTCACATAGTTTGTACTGGGTGGGTTGTGGGGGTGGGGTGAGAGGTTGACTAACGGGGATCGGAGCACTGGCGAATTTAGAATTTTTATTGAAAGGAATTATTCGGAAAAAGAAAAAGAAAATAGTGATTTGAACTCTTAAATTACTAGGCCAACCTCTAATCTTATATTAAGGAGATTTAAAATCAATATATAAATATAATTTCTTAAAAATATCTTAAATATATAATGTAATTTTTCATCGAGTGATGAACCCCCTCGACGTACTCTAGTTCCACCGCTACATTGGAGGGAGTGGAATTCCTCCATATTCTTGCAAAAACAATAGTTTGGTTTGTTTGAGTTATTTCTTTTTGTTTTAATTTGTTCATCATAATTTTATTTGATATTGAGTTTTAAAATTAAAATACTTTCGTATGTTGTGGTCATAAAGTATAAAAATATCAAAATATTTTTAATATTATAATCTTAAAACATATTAGGTTGAAAGTTAAAAATTAATGAGTTGCTAAGAAATCAGTAAGAAAAAATAAATTGAAAAGAAAAGTGAAACAAATAAATTGAAACAGAAAAAGTACTTTTCGACTATCACTTTTTATTTTTGTCACAAGTTTTTTCAAATATTTTCTACATATGCTGATTATCAAATATTTTATGTTTGAATTCACATCAAATATTAATTAATTTGATATTTGTACTTAAAATCGAATCAAATCAAACGAATTAAAATAGAAAAATATTTACCAAGCAAAAATGGATTTATTGATTTTGACCTTTCTTATTTGGATATGAATTACTCCATATCAAAACAGTATAAACAATTTTTTCACGATAAATGAAATTCATAAAAGGTAACTTGCGTTATTCTATGAATTTTTAATATTACTTCTCATGAATATATATCATTAATTACTTTTTAGGTGATACAATAGTCTATGAAAAATATTTGTGTTATCAATATATAGACGTTGAATAATTGGAGAGCTGATAATAAACTTGAAAATATCATTTATTTATTTTTTAAAGAAAAATCCTATAATCAACCAAAATTAAAAAACATAAAATGTTTTTCTCCAAACATATCTTAGAGATCTCAAAAGTTTTGGACAAATTATTTATTTAATTTACACGTTTCTGCTTGTTCTCTTTCAACTTTTTCTTGTTAATCAGGAAGGCCTAACACCAAATGACAAATGTTGCATTGATTTGACATACTTTTAATAAATAAATAAAATATCAATTTTGTTATATCGTTTTTTGAATATAAAAAAATTAATATTTAAAAATGTAATTATAATTGATGATAAGTATAAATTAGAATGTAAATGACAAACTATCTCTTAAATTTTTAAATTAAATAAATAAACATAAACATTTATTTATTTAGTATAGAAATAAGTAAAAATAGTAGGAGAGTATCACAGTTTAATGTTAAGAAGATTAAGCCTTTTTTTAAAAAAAATAAAATGGAGTGTGTAACTTCTCATTTTAATTCTAAGATAAAAAAAAATGTATTGAATTTTTCTACAATTAAATTTGGCAAGTAACTGTTAATTGATGAAAACTAGTTGGTTCTAAACTTGATTACAATTGAGACTTTTGATTATAATATGGTAAATATTTCTCATTTGCATGTTTACATCAAACCAAGTAATATAATTTTACTAATTGAAAATTAATATCAAACAAACACATACATCTTTACCTTCGTAATTTCCATTAGTCAATAATTACTAAGAAAACAAAATAACATATACTTTGTATTTTTCATAACTTAACTACATTTCAACAACTTATTTTTTTTAATTTTCTTTTTTTAATAAATATGGTATCTAAAATTAATTTTCTTACGCCTCGACCGATAATATATATATTTCATTGTTTCTTTTCTTCTACTTTGAAGGTGGACATGGTGGCATTGGCTTCCCACGTAGGCCCAAATTTCCTGTTTTATCCACACAAAAAAGTGAGCACAATATAAGAAAATTATATGTAATGTTTATATTAACTAAAATTAAAAAGTATTTGGAGCATATGCATGCTCATGATTTGTATGCATTCTACAAATACTTTGTTCTAAGGCGATTTAGGAATTTAAATAAATGAATTCAACGCTATATTCAAGTTCTTTTCGCTAATAAAAATCATTACACTTTTAAAAGTATATGATCCAAATTTACTATTTTTACTCCGTTGGAATTTATGCGAAGGAATTTAAAATAACTAGATTAAAACACTTAATTTGACTATGAATAGATACTTCAAAAATTCTAAAATAAAATTTATATATTTCAAAACCATTCAAAAAGTACAAGTTAACGATTCAAAATCCCCGCAAATAGTACAAACTCACATAAAATAGAACGAAATAAATAAAATTGGCTGCAACGTATAATCGTAAATCCTGTTGAGCAAATGCCGGTACTCTACCATCAAACTGATTATGTTGTACCTGCAGCTCAACAAGTTTCAGAATTCATAATAACGTCATTGGAATATTGCCTGTAAACTCATTATTAAAATTATCCTCATCACTTCATTCCAGTGAAAATATCTTGCATTTCTTGTATCATAGAGAAAATTTAACCATTTCAAAACTTCCTGTGATCCTTGACAATACTGGTTACCTCATCATTACATTGACAAAGATGTAAGTAAAAGCATGTGATGATTAATCGTTACATCACAAAGCATGCCATAGTTGAAAATCTAAACTATTTAAGGTTAGTTATTTTTTGTGAATTGCATCACAAAGCTGAATAAGGGTGTCTGAAATTTTTCCAAGGCAATCGATAAGTTGGTTGCCTTGACTTCTGATCAAATGAAGGCGACCAGCATCAAAATTGTTCAAACCCGCAAGGCTGCAATCTCTATCATCCATTGTATTTCCTTCAGTTATTGCAGTGATCATTTCTGCATTTTCTCTAAGAGTTGCAGCCATCAGTTCTTCTGGATTATCTACATGAAACTGCTCAGCTTTTACCTTATTAACCATGCTAAGGTTTGGAAGTTCAGTCATTTCCTCCGGACTGGATGTCTCGCGCTTTATTTCTAAACTTGAATTCTCATGCCTTGGGGCTTCCAAACCTGCATCTATGCTAGCTTCATGCTTTATACCCATCTTCGATTGCTCATACTTCCTGTTCTCATTTAAGATGCGTCTCCATGGATTCAATCTTTCCTCAATTTTGTACCTTTTTGTCTTCGTCCTCCGCCGTTGCCTTTTAGGACCTGTGGTTCAAGAATGTTAACACATTTAGAAGATAGCCAGGTGGCGTACACAAGATCTTTTGTAGGCAGCAGCGATATTTCAAAAAATAAACAAATGAAAATTGATCTAACAACATTATATTAGTAAAAACTATTTAAAGTGTAATAATAAAACATAAATCAAGTAAATTACTACACAAATTGAATTCTAGTTCAACTGGTCTATTTTATCCTTCCTAATTTGACTAGGACTTGGAGGTTGGAGATTCGAAACTCCTTAACAACATTTACGTTTATCACAGACAAAAGTTACTGAAAAAGCTCAAAAATCAAACATAAAGCTGCGCTTGCTGAGGTTTGAACTCAGGAGCACCACTGCACTAGCCATGTGCCAAACCATGGAAGCTCATTTTTCAAGCAATGTCATTTATGTTATTTCTAATTATATTCTGTTCTTTTCAGATATATATATATATATATATAATACAAAGAAGTCAACAAAGCAGTGTCGGTTGACACCCCCTTGACATAGGGTGGATCCAATTTTCTTTTCAAGAGATTGCTTTTCTTTTTAAATTCTTCTTTATCTTTGGTATATTACACTATTATATAAGAAACCATGACTACACTACAAAGTTTGTTTTATAGAGTGCAGGATGGATAGTTGTGCTAATTAATTCTAGAATGCTAGTATAATAATAATGAAGATCTGCAGTCATTAACTTCGGCAAATGACAAGATTCACCAAGTCATTTTGCACTAAATCAGGCAGCAGATCCCAGCAGATAAAATTACAAATTCATATGCTCACTTAAATGAAGAAGGGAAAAGAGAGAAAAGAACCATATTCATGGCTAGTGAACTGAATGCCGATTTAAAAAAAATACTGAATGCTGACATGTGCATTCCAAGGAATCAACCCCTTCCGTTTTTTGGTGGAGGAGAGCTTGGTGGCATACTTAATAAACTTACCGAAATAAGATACGTTTTATCCTTATAACCTAATCAATGTTTTAAGAAGTGGAGGTACAAGAGGCCTAAGTTGTGCGGACTCTTCACATTAGATGCTGCACCCGTGTCTGATTCTCCAATAATACACTACTTTTGGAGAATCGGACACACACCCATGGAATTTTTGAAGAGTCAAGCAACATAGCAAGAGGCGCAAGGCCAACCACTTTGCTTTACATTGTATGAGCCGTAGTTCCCAAGCAATTTACTTTACACTGTAGCAAATGCCTGCTGTGCAAAAAGAATAAACATGAAGCTAATCACTTATTTCTGCACTATAACTTTCCTAAGATATAGAACCTATTCTTTAATCTCTCCAAAGTCAGTTGGGTTATACTGAGAACCATTAGACAACTGCCACACTACTGGACTGGAAAGGGCATAGGAAAGGGGAAGGGGAAGGGGAAGCGGAAGATATGGCAGACATTCCTGCGTGTGTTTGGTGGTTGATTGGTAGGAGAGGAACCAAAGATGTTTTTGAGATTAAATATGAGAATATTTACACTGTAATACAGATGTATTTCCCTTTTAGGTTTTCGGTGTAAACTAGAAGATGTCAGTACAATTTATAGGATGATAGATTTTCTCAGTTCCCTACAGTAATTGTAAAGGAACTGCTCTGTATGTAATTATTGGCACAATCTTTGTACAAGTTCCCAAGATGTGGGACATAAGTCCAACGAATATTTAACATATTAATATTTTTCTGATAAGGTAATGTTGATATTGTTTTTGTTGTTGTTGCTTGTAAACATAAATTACAAAAGAAAAGTTTAAATTACATAAATGTTGTAGAAAATTCCAAAAAAAAAAAAACAAAGCGTATAAGGAAATATAATATAATTTCCTATTATAAGATGAAACTATAACCATTTTCTTGTCAAGGCAAAATAACTGCAATAGGATAAAATCATTCTTCATCAAAATACTGATTTTTGGTTAAACATTTTCACGTATTATTTGTACAAAAGTTGAACGCCCGACATTAGCTTTTAAGTGAACAGAGAATCTTACGAACAATTTGTACAATAAAGATAAGCCTCCTGTTTCTTCATCTCTTAAGAGCTAATTAGTTCTTTTCCCAAACACAAACAAATAGCCCATTAGAGTTGGATAAGTTAAGACCAAAATGTTTTTTTCTCGTTTCTTTGTAAAATCTCCTCACTTCAATCTCAAGGTCGCTGCTTCTACATTTGGTTTCTCTCTGTCCACTGGCTCTTGAAGCCGCTGTTACCACCAGTCATTCCAGACGCCTCACCTACAGGCTATAGCTTTTTGCGATCACTACTTCAATCAGTCACGTTCTTCACACCTATTTTCTTTTACAAGTATATTGTGAAGGAAAAAAACAACCTGATCTAGTTGCTCATTAAAGAAATATAGGTGTGAAGACTAGGTTGTACTTCATTACTATTTTCTTTCTAAACAGGATCATTGATAATGCTTACTTGGTCAATTCCTTTTATGGATTTTTCTCTCTTCCAAAAGGTTTAATTTAGATGTGGATTTTGCAATTGCAAGCGTTCAACAAGGTATGCTCCTCTCCTACAAGGGGCTAGGCGAGTCTTGGAATATGCTCAAACCTTTGGAGCACAACTAATGTATCCACTTCCCAATCATTTAGGTTTCTTTTGAACGGGAAGTTCCATAACTGTGTTGTCAATGCTCCTTCTACTGTTTTCTCTTAACGTAGAACCAGGCCATAGATGTTTGGAGAGAGATTTTCCATACAAGAATTAGCAAGCCATTAGTGCTCCCAGGAAGATGTTCTGCAACCATTAACTACCCTAGTGGAGGTGTGAGCCTTCATCAGAAGCCAAAGTGTTCTAATGGATCTCAACAAACAGAGGTGTGATCCCCCATCATATCTAGCTCTTATTATGCCCACCCAATAAGCTTGAGGTTACTGAGAATATCTCGACAGCAACTTCAATTTGAGTGCCTTACTGTGCCATTTCAAATTCCTGACGCCTAACCCATCTTTTCTCTTCCCATGCGTCACCTTGCACCATTTAACTTAATGAAACCCCTTTTACTCCTCCTTTCATTCCGCAGAAAATCCCTCCTAATCTTATCAATCCTCTGTATAACCCTATCTGTGCTGGGGAATAAAGACATCATATATTGGCAGAGCATCAAGCACTGAACTAATGAGAGTGACCCTGCCCCTCAAAGATAAGTATTGAGCCTTCCACCCTGTCAGTTTCCTTTCACACTTCTAAATTACCAAATCTCACATTCCCTCAAAATTTAATAGCTTAGAATTGAATCAACTTTTTGACTCTATAAACCTTTGAAGTTATAAATAAATTTTTTCCACACACATCAATCAACCAATTGTGACTCGATCCCAAACTCTATGAGGTTTGCCATACAAATCTCAGTACTCATCAACACATACTCACAAAGTGGAACTGTGTAAGAACTCTTAGAAAGAACCAGATGCTAGACCAATGGTAGCAGGCTGAATCCAAAAGTTTTTCCTAACATTATTCAACATATATAAAAAAAGAGGTTATTAAATAAATCTTTCCCTTCGGTAGTAAAAAATCACAGAGTATCAGGTATTTCAAGACTCAAGTGTACTACTCCACTAATCCCTGTCATCTTCTGTTACGTTGCTGGTCAGCCAGTCTAACCGATGAGAGGTTTTTGTTCCCATTCATATTATAGTAGCTGGTCTAACTTCTTTTCAGCCTTACTTTAGCCAAGTGCCTCATTATTTTCTTAACTACAATCCTTTCACCAACAAAATCTATCAATAACATTGAACTCAAATCTCCACTAAATCATCAAATAAGATTGAATACAATCTTAATTTTACAAACAGGGTCATCAATTATCGGCACGAAGTTCTCTTTAATGATCTATACTAAGACTTAACCAGAGGACTCTTCTAAACAAAAGCACACCCTTCATAATTTTTTCGACAAACTAGTAACTAAAAAGTTTCTCGCTAATAGAAGCAAACAACTATTATTTTCTAAAGAGAAAGATACAAAAGAGTCATCTTGATAAAATTGCATGTCATATTTCTGGTTAACAACAAATTCATGATACTTCAAAAGTTGATTAGAACAGAGGCAGTACCAATTTCCAAGAAAGCATTATTTCCTTGAACCTGCTGTGCTTCCGGGTCGGTATCCGGGTCAGTTTCAGCACCGCCACCATCCTCACCCTCTAAACTCAAATACCTAGCAATCGCATTAAACAACTCGAAATCAAACTGCTCCGGCAGCTCCAATTCCCTCTTCCTCTCCTCATCGAAGGAATCCCAATAGGCCGATTCCCAGGGCTTCACTTTATTGTACTGTTCCAACATAGATTCCCACCTCCGTTTACACTGATTCAAACTCCGATTCACGCCCAGTGAGTTGCAATTGTGCACGGTCGATTGCCATTTCTGGAAAGAGGCTAGGGAGTTGCCGCATTCAATTTGAGTTGCTTTCATTTCGTTCACAAGGGTAACTGACTCATGTAATGTCCAGTCAGGCGCCGCCTGTGAACGCGTCCTTAGTGAACCGCCGCTCCTCTCCATTTTTGACGCCCAATTTTTCTGAATCTATTGCCTGACGCTCAACATAGCTGCTGGAATTGGGAAGAAGAGCAGTATGAAGAAAGAAGTTAGATGATGTTATGGGAACTTGTGCTCAATTTGTTTGCTTGCTTACACTAATATTTTTTAGAAATTTATTCAGTCAAAGTAGAGGTTTGTGAACTTGAAACTTAGGGTGTGTTTGGTATAAAATAATTTCCAATTTTCTAATGTTTTGTCGGGAAAAAAGTGTTTTTCAAATCAATTTATTTTCCTCAAATTTAAAGAAAATAGTCAGAAAATATTTTTCAAAACTCTCATCTAACTTCAAATCACATTTTTTTTTTGGAGAAACATCAATTTCTAAAGTATTTTCAATTTGAAAATTTTATATTTCTATCCCGACCATCCCTCCACCCCCTCCAAAAAGAATTAATTTTTTTAAAAAAAAATTAATTTCAAAACTTTATTTTTTTCACCCGATCTCAGACCCCCACCCCCGGTAACCCCCTCCTCTCCTCCCAAAAAAAATTAAATTTATTTTTAAAAAATATTTTTCATTCATAAATTAAAAACTAAAAATTATTTCCTATAAATATTTTTTACTCACCAATGAAACATGAGAAAATAAGTCATAAATCTACTTGTTTCCAGAAAAACATTTTCCTTCATACCAAACACACCCTTAATGTCAGTTTGAATCGACTAATTTTGGGGGTTTTAAGCCAAGAAATTTTTACAGTTTTAAAGTGCATGGATAAAGTTATAAAGTGCTTACAAGCACTTGTGTTAAAGCTAAAATAACAAAAATAAGTCAAAAGTCATAAGTTAGAAATCTCAACTTATGGCTTTTGGCTTACAAGACAAAAGTCAATCCAAACGGGCCCTTACTTAATGAGAATTATTGTTTATGAGCTTTGCGAGTTAATATGCGCATTCAAAAAATAGCATTTTTGAATTATTCTTAAATAGTTTTATATTTCGGCTAATACTCCCAAATAAAACGATTTCATACCAAGGTCTAGGGAGTGAATGGTAAATCAACCTAAAAGAAATTTATTTTATTTCAATTTTAAAAATTTGAAAATAAATTTATAAAAGAATTAGATATTATAACATGTTTATTTAAGACTTTTATAAAGATTAACATTTTTTTAGGAGAAAATGATCAAAATAGTCCTTAAATGTATGGACTTAGATTGATTTGGTCCCTCGTATATGAAGCTTATGGAAAACGTCTTTTATCTATGTTAAAAACTTATCAATTTAGTCTTTCACTCGAAAACCTTAACTACACAAAAAAAAATTCTGTCAAATTAAACAGAAATGTGCAGCTCACCATGACATACAAAGATTTTAAACAAAATCTCCGTTTTCTTAACTCAATTCCAAAGAATGAAAACTCTCGTCTTTTAAAAAAAAACCTCTTTTTCTTGTAAAATCAAACTATACAAGTTTTTTCCATCGTTGAACCATGTTAATCAAAAGAAACTCCAATAGATCGAGCCCCTCTTATATATGGTAAGAATTTACTTTGCTTCTAGTCGAGGAAATCCAAGGGCCAGCGCCTATTTGGTATTCAAAATTTGTTGGGTTGTTAGTACTATTTTTCCAATGTTTTATATAAGATTATTTTTTTCTTTTTGGTGATACGAAAATCAACTTTTCAAGAATATTTAGATGTTATGGTATAAAAAGTATACAAGTTTTTTAACACCTAGAATGTGGTCTTAATCGGCTAAAATATGTAATCTTTTAACTGCAGATTTTGTGTTCAATGATATCATGAAGGATTGATAAAACATCAACCACACAAACAGTATGTTGGTGGTATCATTGATTACTTTAATTATGTTAAATTGAAGAATCTCAATCTAACTGACTTGAATATAATGGTCGACTTATGTGGTTAAAAAAATTCATCCTTAAAGATAGAGTAGTAGAGTTATATATTGAGCATTTGGACTCTTATATTGGAATAGTCGATACAATTGAGTTTGGTTGCAGAACTAGTCGCATTCCAGAGAATGAAGATGTCGTTGGACCTGTTGACAAAGAGTTTGAAAGGGAAAACTTATCCTTGGGAGATGATTTTGAGGATTATGAAAATGAATTCTCCAGCGACGAGATGATGGTTGATAAACAAGGACACTATAAACATTGTTTTGACGATGACAGAAAGCTTGTTACTGCTGAAATTCAAAAAAAGATGTTACATGAAGATGGGGATCCTGATTGAGTTAACTCTAAAGACAATCCAAGTCCATACATTAAGGACTATTTTGATCATTTTCTCTTTTTTTAGTTTCATGCCTTGAATATCGCTATCCATGTTACTAGTCACCCCTGCAGGTAGCCGTCATACTTCATTATCAATTATCATCATCATTGTTGATCCTTATTTACGATCATCATTATCCTAATAATTATTATCATTAACTAGTTAGTTACTATTACATGGTGTCAATCACTATCACCATCAGTTATCATTGTTAATCGTTATTGTTACTCATTATCACCATTGATCTCTACCCCTAACACCATCATTTATCACGACCATCCCGATTAAGTCTGACAATGAGGGCGCGGGAACAAAACGACACATGTTTAAGGTTGTGCGGGGCAGAGAGGAATGCGAGGCAGGTTTATTTAAAAAACTAATGCAGGGGCTGGGGCGCGTTGCAGGTCTATGTGATAAGAGTAATAGAGCATTATCAATTAAGAAGTTTCTTTAAAGTTACTAAAATATTCAACATAGTAAATGGAAATGATTCGATCAAAACTAGTAAAATTTATTACATGCTTCACAGTTGACCTATAAAAAAAATGTTAAGCTAGTTTTCATATAACTTTACATTAACATACATTGTTCACTAAGTTAAAAGTCTCAAGTTTGCCAACATAAAGAGTGAAACATAAAATTTACCCTTTTGTTTTTCTTCAACAAACACTATCCTACAATTCCTGTTAAGTCTTCTCACATTTTATAGGGACCTATTTTCCCTTCACCAAATTTTTACTTACAAGTACAGTCTATTGATGATTATAATTAATCAACTGCAGCACAACCTGTCTTCTTTTCCTTCTTTTCTATTAGTAAGAAACTTGAATAATGTTCTTCAAATTCACTAGTATTGTCTTTATATTGCTTCTTTGGTTTTCTGTATAATTTCACCTGTGGAAAATGGTCTTTAAATCGGGCATATGTTGAGCTAGTCGTCATCTGGCTCAGCCGAAAAGTCAGGCTCCTCGGGCTTCTGAAACGTAGGCATGTCCATATCCTTCATCTTCTGAACTCCTCTCCTTGTGTTTGCAGCAAATCTTGATGCCAATATTGTAACTCCAAGGTTTTGCTTTACATTTGAAGAGTTTGTTGGTGTAGTCTTTGTTTGTTGATCATCCTCGTGTTCACATTCACTTTCATATGCTGATTGATCATCCTCAGGAGCATAAGACAAGGACTCACCTCTATAAAGTTCTTTGGCTAGCTTTCTCCTCTTGAAACGACGCCAAGCAGCTTGAACAAAACAGGCAGCCCAAGTTCTCCAGTGGTGAGAGTAATAACGGAAAGTGTGCTGTAGCTTCTTACTATGAAGACGTCTGAATTGATTGGCTACAAACTTGAGATCCTCTGCATGTAATGCAAAAGCTTCTACTTCTGATAGCGCTCTCACTGTTCTCGTTGATGAAGGCAAGTTAAGAGTGGATCGTGGCAACAACGCCCAGGCAAGGAGTTCCTCACCACAAAAGTCACCTGGCCTCAAAGTAATTGAGTTGAAGAAGCCTGTCCGCCCCCCATTTGTAGTTGAGCTCTCTAATGTTCCTCTAATAACAAAGAGCATTTCAGTTACTGGATCACCCTCACGTACAATGTACGTTCCTTGAGTACTTAACGAAGAACTCAGACGTTCACATATGGCATCAAGCAGTTGATCATCCATTTGCGAGAAGAAGGGAACCTGCAAAACAGAACAACTCAAGCAAATCAAAGAAGAAAGAAAAATACATTTCACCTGTTTGAGATTATCGCAGTACCAAAATGCAAGTACTTTGCGTCATTTCAATAACTATTGATATTACAAAGTATGGGTGTAATGAGCGAACCCAGAGAGAATGACTTACACGCCGAACAAGGTCTAAACATAGGTGACGTTGGATGTCACGACGAAGGTCTGAAGGTAAAGCAAGCAGGATAGATTCTTCATCTACTCCTCGAGTCGCAAGCCACTTGTACTGTACAAAACGTCTAACACGTTCTTGTAGATCCTGAGGAAGTTGGCGATGCCTCATCCATTCTTCAGTATCTCGTCGCTTGAGCCTCCACTCTTCAAGCCTCACAGTGATAGATTGTAAGTATGTCTTCATCAATAAAAAGGGAGAAATTAGACTCGAGTTAGAAGAGCTTTCTTCAAAATGAAATGTTTAAGTTCACAATATAGAAGATGTAGAAAGCAGCATTCTCTGTTGTAACTGCAAAAACAATGAAAGACTACTGGTCCAAATACACATCAACCAAAAAGCATCAAAAGAAAGAGAGGCCAATCTTCGCCAAAATCCAAAGTTGTAGTCTATATGAGCATTTCAAATGTGATATTAAGACAAGGTTTGTCACTCATACCTGCATGTTTCCAATCAAATGAGCAAACAGAACTAGCCCAAAAATAGCAATAAGAATGGCAAATGAAGTTTCCCATATATATGTGCTTGTGGTCAAGTTTTGGCCGTAAGAACTGCAAAAGATCAGAAAACAAAGTGCTCAATATCCCTGATTCGTGATGCTGCAGCAAATAGCACAAATGCAGATAATCGTAATTACCAAAGATATACTTAAGCAAAGTTATTTACATGGCTATTTAATATATAATAACTGATTTTGAATATTGACTTAAAGATAAAACCTTATACACCATAAACAAAAACCATTTTGGACCTTTGAGATATATGCAATTGATATTAAAGAAATTTTGCTTGATAATCGACGATACTAGTGGCCAAGTTAATGGTCCTATTGGAAACCATACCTCAAATTTTGTAAACCCCACCACAAACAGTACAAGTACTTCTCAAGGAACTTAGAGGATACAACATTGTTTGTAACTGCATTAGCAAATATTCCAAAGTCGAAAATGGTCGAGTTAGAAG